GTTTACATAATGAATTGTACTATCCAATTAAGTGCACGGGCCTACTAGGGGCCGAAGCGTCGTTGAATACTGGTAGTTCTGTCTCAGGTTAGAATGCCGCGAACAGGCAGGCTACATGGGCGTTTTCTTGGTTTTCCCCGTTTGTGAATGGTATATGAGCCAGTTTTAAAAAATCTTCTACAAAGGGATCCCTCCTGTTAGGCAGATATCCGTCGACGCTTTGCCGTTATCACATAAAACAAACTCATGATGTGCACACCTAATTTCTAGAGTTCGTATAAGTAATGTGTTTTAGGTATATTACCGAGTGTTCTACGGGACAGTAAGCAACTCATACATGTTTGATTGCTCATGTATTTCATATGCTTTATTTGATCTTCATTTTGCTGAATAGTATCTGCTGGCTGTGAGGATGTAAATATCAGCCATATAGATTTTTGTCATAGATTTTTTTTTTTTTTTGGTCTGTTTGTTTGAATGGACAGAACAGTAATTATGAGCCATAAAGTTAGTCAAGAAAATGCTTTCACCAGGTCACAAATTTTCCAGTGAGCCATCAAATTTTCATTGAAGTGCAGACAACAGAAAATACACATAAGTGATGTCTGATAAATAGATTTATCCAGCACACGTTTTTAAACTATTCTTAGTGTATACAGATTTTGGCTATTACTGATGTAATTGATTGCTATAACCAGAAGTGTGTTTATCTGTTACTTGAGTGGAGATCAAAGTGATTAACTTGATAGCAATCACCTTTCTATTATCTTCCAAAAAAGATGAGTGATACAAAAAACAAAAGAGTGTGAGTGATGCAAAACAACACGAAAAAGCAAACGTCACTTGAAAGGAAATGTCACTTTCGCCAATCTGAGTGATAACTGATTCTTGTTTGGCTTTCAGCCTGTTTACCAAGGGAAGATGGTAACCCTATTTCGCCAATGAGCGTTTCTCAGAACTGTTCCACCAAACCTTTTGTTCCGGGAACAAATATCGTATGTGATAAGGGTTTTAATGTTCCAACCCTTTAACCCTTCGAAGACCAATATTAAAATGTAATTAAAAATATACACAAAGTTGCTTTTCATAATATTTTGGCATAATTAAAATGTTTTTCATCCAAAAAAAATATTCAATTTTATTTTCAGTTGGAATTGTATGGGTTCCAAGACAAGAATGCCACCCAGCTAAAACCCACAAAGCACATGACGATATGTATAGGAAATGTGCTAATTGTATATAAAAGTAAAAATTATGACTAATATTTTGTATGATGTGTTTTTCTATTCTGAAAAACCACAAATTACTAGGTCTTAGAAATTCATGCATTTCAATTTTATTTTATAATTTCCAGTGGTACTGCTGTCTATTGAATAAAAAGATAACTAGAACTTTTTTTTAATAGATTGTTTTTTGCAAAAAACTATTTTTTGTAGAGGGGGGGTGGAGATGTCAAATATGCATTCTCAAGGCAGGGACATCACCTTTCAAAAGGTTAAAACATCATCTTGAAACAGTGGCTTAGCAGATTAATGATCTAAATGCCTCTTAGACAGTATAGCAGTTAATGAAGCAGGCTACCATACCAATGGGCACAGGTTCAAATCCTGAAGAAGGTATGGTTGTTTGTAAATATATAGTGTCTGTATGGCACAGGTGCATTTGTTATGTATTAATCGTTTTATTTTCAAGCTTAAGTTGTTTCACTTATTATTTCAGTTTTGATATGAATTAATCGTTTTATTTTCAAGCTTAAGTTGTTTTGCTTATTATTTCAGTTTTGATTTGTAATTGAAAGTCCTTTTTTTTTTTTTTTTTGTTTAAAGTTGGTTGTAAGTTTAAATTGTAACCTTTGTAAATTTTAAATTTTGGTTAGGTTGCTTTAAAAGTTTTCTTGAGTTGAAGTTGTTTAATTTTAATTTGAGTTTAGGGACTTATCTTTTAAGTTAAACGAATACATATTTTCTGACTGGAGGTAGGAAAAATTTATCGTATTTGTATTTCAATTTGGATAATATGTGTGTACACTTTAATTGTGGCTGAAGAAACAATTATTACAGTGCTTACATTTTTATTATGAATTATAATGTTGTGTAATTAGTAGTTTCTTTTTTTTTAATTTCACAAAGTCATTTTTGTATTAACTTGGTTCAGAGATTTTTCACCCCTTGCCCTCGGCTTGGATTTCATTCTCGGAAACTCTTATCAGCGGTTTTACTGCACCCCAAAATTCCTTCCTTCTAAACGAAAAAACACATGTGGGGGGTGAAGTGCTGGATGGATACACGATATGGTTTCTCACGAAAAGAGGACCCTGTTTTGCTGGACAGGCAAGCATGGAGATGTTCTACAGCATATTTTATGGTGGGGGAAAATATTCGTTGAGTTAGAAGATTTGCATTATCGACTGGGACCTCGAGCGAGGCTAGTTTCTCTTCCCCCCCCTTGTATTCGTCTGCAGATCTGATGACACATTGGTGTGGCCTTGGAAGTTGAATGATGGAATAGCGAAAAAGGGTTCTTCTGGTAGTCGGGAAACCCCTTCCCGTGAAGATTCCTAGCGTTAGGTTGCTGGTTTTGGCTTCCTTGCTGTTCAACATCTACGCCAAGTTTTCAAAAAACGCACCAGCTATTAAAGTGGCTGCGCAGTGTTTTCGAGTGGGGAGGAAGACGAAGAAACCATTTTTGAATAACACCTTACTTTTGGAGGAAGGGTCCAAGGGAGATTATTTTTGCTGTTTCCGATGGCTTCCACGATGCACAGAGGGGACCAGCCGACGGCGTGCCATGGCAGACCAAGAAATTAGACAACTTGCCCGACGGACACAGTGGTAGCACCTGAATTGCAGAATGGCTTCCACGATGCACAGAGGGGACCAGCCGACGGCGTGCCATGGCAGACCAAGAAATTAGACAACTTGCCCGACGGACACAGTGGTAGCACCTGAATTGCAGAATGGCCAACATCTTGGTGATGACCGGAGTCCTGCTGAACGGAAGCGGCTGTGGGGCGGAGAGCTTGGCCTCCGAAAATATTTCTCATTATTAATTATGATTTGTTTTCTTTACAGGAACCTCTACCAACGAATTTTGTTATTTCCAGCTCTGTTACAAGAACCCCCAAAAATGTTTGATGCCTTCGCAAGGTGAATTTGTTAAATTTGTTTGCAGGTATGTAAATTTGTTTCTTCAGAGTAAAGGCCGACCTGCCGCCACCATTGTTAAAAATGTAAATGATTCATAAAAATTTGCTCATAAATAAACGTTAGATTGATTTTACTTATTTAGCCTTGTAATTATTGTATTTAATTCCTTACACTGGACCTTAAACATTATATTATGCCAACAACAGACACAATCTTGCACTCCTTGCCACAATAAAATTAATAGGCTTTGGTCAGACTGGGTGAAACAAATAAGATTAGCCATAATAATATGATTTGAACAGTATGGAAAAACCACAGATGCAAGAATGAAAGGAATTAAAAATTAATCATGAGAAGAAAATGTAGGATGTTAAAAAAATACATTTTGATTTCTTCAAGTTAAAATGTTCAGTATTTAAATCAAGGAAACTAAATAACATCCTGAAACTTAACAAAACTCATTTGTGTAATGCAGCTTGAAAAAAATCAATTATGATATTTCCATAAGTATTTCCCCCCTTTCTTAATTTTATCATTGAAAATCAAGAGAGGAAAATTAAGTGAGTCACTTAATTTCCATAAACAGTTACGATAAGAACATAACAAATGAAAGGCAGTGAATGGATAAACTACTCGTAAATATCACAATATTATTTCTTTAAATGAAACCTGCATTCCAATAAGAAAACATAGTAATATTAGCATTACAATATCTGAAAGTAACTGAGCTGAACAATGTTACACAGAGTGTGATGTGTCCGTTCTAAGTTACCTTGTAAAGCCTCAGGAGCATCTCACATCTCACATGAGCTGGAACATAAAAATAGAAGTAAGGTGATATCACATGTTTGGAAAGTTTCTTAAGTACGAGAACACCTGCCACATCCGAGTCCCTTTCGACCAGACTTTTGCATGATTAAAATTTAACTATGAAAAGTAGTTTAATTTAATTTTAACAAATACAAATGTAAAAATACAACTACAAATGTAAAATCCCATTTAAAAGTGGGTTTTATTTACTCAATAGGATATACTAAAATAAATGGAATATGAGGTTAAGGTTTTTAACTTTTCCCGTTTCCTGGAAATCATCTGAGACAATATGTCCCAATTGTTTAGGATATTACTCTTTCTCAGAAAACAAAATTAAAAATTACAGTAATAATGTGAATATTACAAAACATAAACTCTTATCACATGTGCTAGTTCATATACAACAGAAATTTTCATATATGTTTCATAAACACAAACATAATATATCAGTATGTAGTAATTTGATCATTGGTGGGACATATTAGAATACTATTAAATACGATTGGAACAATAGATTCCATAAAAAGAATTTATTCAAAATTTCTTAAAACTGACATTAAAAATGCTAAATTACTACTTATATAAGAACAATAAAAACTATTTCATACTAAGAATGCCTCAAATATAATTGTAGTTACTGTTAAATTAATAAAAATAGATAAATCGAAACTTCAGTAATCGGCGTGCTAAAAAATATAAGTGCGCCATCTGCAATCTAAAAGTGTTGCCAAGTTTCTTTAGTCATTTATTTGTTCTCTAATTCCTTAAAAACACTACAAATGTTAAAACACATTTAAAAAGGGTTTTATTTACTCAATAGGGTATGAAATCTAATCTCTGGGACGTATGTGCTCATTAGGACTAAAATGTTTACTGAAGAATCTGCACAAAATATGTTTAAAATAAATGCAAGGGAAAATAAAATGGATAAAATGCTAATACAAAATGAATACACTAAACAAAAAAGAAAAAGTAATAATCAAGGAAACATAATTTACCAATCAAGCCCTCAAAAAGAAAAACTATGTACAAAAAAGTCACCATTTTTTGGTCCTCTTTTTCCAGTTTTGAAACAAAGTGGGCATATTCCTCCACTTCCTGCATGGAAGGATATTTAACTGTACTCCCAAATCGATCAAATTCAAGTTCCAGACAAGGCGAGTCTTTATTTGGATTTGATCCAGTAGTATCTATTGGATTTAATAATTCATCCATTCCTTTCGGCATAGCCCATAAATGGACACTAACCCTATCAGTTAAGAGTCTTTCCTTGTAATCAAACAGATTGATATTGCCCCACGCAATAGCACAGTGCTCCTAAAAATAAGAAATTTTATTTAAAGTACAACTGAAAAATGACAATGAGAAACAGTGCAAAACACTTATAATATATGAAGATTATAAAAATTCTTGAAGGCATATGTTGGTGTATAATTAAGGATATCATACAACACAAAATATACCGTTATCTTCATGCGCATGAGAATTATTTTGTTAACAATTCACTGTGCAGTCATAAAACATTAATAAAGAACACAAATTTCTTTTTATTTATTTCAGGCTAATGAATTTAGAAAACAACATATCATACTAATTTAGCATACTCCTTGCATATGAATGAAAATTTGTTTGTTTTGCAAATTTTCCTGTTTTTTTTTAATTGGTAAAATCTTGATTTTATATAAACATTTACTTTGTTGCACACTTTACACAGAAATTTATGAATAACAATGGCAGTTTTAGTGCCAAGTAACAATGTTTGTTTGCTTTAATTGCTTACAGCAAAGCACTGAATAGTTATCCAACATGAAGATGATTTTATAAAAAGTTTTCAAAGGAAAATTGGCTTTTATTTATGTTGGACGTGGAAGAACCATAAAAACACTCATGCCGCCATTCATTCATTGAGAATCGAACTACCAGTATTTAGCAATCTAATCAAAATGGCTGCTAGTGGGTCTATGTCTCAATGATAAAATACTTACTTTTAATGCAGATAATTCGAGTGCAGCACATATTGATTACATTTAACAGAATGCATACCCTGTTCTGAAGCAAATACATATAATATTTTTTGCAGTATTTCTGAAACTATTTTCATGTGGGGACCACTTTTATAAGTTAGAATGTACTACGGATCACATTGCTCATTGTCAATGTCCCCTTCAAGGGAAATGTTTTTAGCATATGTACTATATTTTTAACATATGTTGTTATTATTTTTAAAATACAATTCATTAAATGTCATTTAATGTTTTATTGGTGTTAAGCAATTAAGTTAATAAATGAAAATTTATATTCGTTTTTAATTATTCAAGGATATTAGAGTTTGGATAATCTTTACCTTATTGACTAAAAATATAATAATTGTTGGTATTTACAGAACCATGCCTATATATTTTTCACCTGAGGCAAAGCGGTAAATGTGCGTCCCTGTATATAATGCAAGATTATTTATTTACCTATTTGTGGGGAAGGGAGGAGAATAAATAAATAATACTAAATGATGTTTGAAAACGTAACGTTATACAATACTGATTGTTTTGGTTTTTACATTAAGTTTTGGTTGATAAGTTTTGGTTTTTACATTTATTAAATTCTTTGTAGCATTTATTAGATTATTTGAAATTTATTAATTATTAATTTCAAAAATTTTCGTCTTTGTGAAACATTAGTTCTAAATTTCTTACTTTATGTCTTTAATATATATATATATGCATTATTGCATATATATACATATAATCATACATATAGAACAAATTAACTATATTTATATATATTTTATGCTCATTAAATGTGAAAATATAATAAATTCACTATTTCTAGTGCAAATATAATAACTCTTACAGTAATATTTAATTATAACTTTGTATATTCCACAAAGTGAAACATATATAATAATTAACAATTTTGAAATGGAAAACATTAAAAATATGCTTTTTGAAAAATGGCAAATAATATTAAGTATAAACAGAACATCTGCTCAAAAATTTATGGCATAAACTTTTCAAGCATATTTATAATTTAATTTATCTTGCTTTTAAAGAAGCAAAATCATCAATACTTTTTCAAAATCTATTTGATTACTTAACTCATGTTCTATAGAAAGAACGGCCATGTTTGAAAGTTTTTCTTGGCCTAGTGAGGATCTCATATAGTTCTTTATAATTTTAAGTTTGCTAAAGCTTTTTCATTACTAGCTGCAGTAACTAGCTACTTTAAAAAAAAATCTTAATGGTGCTTCCGAATTCAGATGGGACTGAACTAAATTATAATCATAAACTATTTTTAAACGTTCTAAGCTTGTAGCCGCTTTTGCTTCCGGGAATTATTTAAATAGCATGTGTTTTTAAAACTAGGTATTTCTGGCTGAATTTCTTCAGCATTCATATCATTCGGATATTTAAATAAGTGTTAAGTTAAGTTATAACCTGCTGCCTTTAAATTACTTAAATCTAATGACATTAATTGTTCACCAGTTAGAAACTGAAAAGGAAGAGATTTCATTTAACTTTTGGCATCGCCATTCCAACTGTGAAATTAAAACGTTGAACACTTCTTCAATTTCTATAAAAATATATTTTTTTGAAAAAAACTACAATTTATATCAATTGATTCCTTACAATTTGATTTATGAACTTTTCATTTTTGTTCCTCTTCAAACTCTGATGATATATATATACAGCTCTAAAGCTGAAGTTTTACATTTTTCAAAAATGCATCGAGAAATATTTTCTCTCATTTCTTGTAATGAAAGACATATTTTCTCTATTAAGTGTGCGGCTATATAGACTGTTATAGTTTTTGACTGCAAGGCTTTATTTACTTTTTTGATTTCTTGCATATTAAATTCCACGCAGGTAACAAACATAAAAATTTAAAATTGATTTGTTTCAAAATGCTGTTATTTTCAACCCATTGCAAAGATTTGTGATCAATAATCTATGTACTTCTGTTATACGTAGACCTAATTCTTTAATAGCATTCTCTTGATGACCATTGTGTATCCGTATGACCTTTTAATGTTGTTTTCAAAATGGACACAAGTGCCTTCCATCTATTCGTTGCAGATTTAAAAAAATTATAAATTCGCTGTACAGTGCCAAAAAATATTAACATACTTGAATTCATTGAAACGGTTGTTTTGCTGTAGAGAAGAAAATGCAAAAAAGAAAATCTGAAAGGTTTCAGAATTTTAAATTATGTTTTAAATTAAATTAATAATTAATTTTAAAGTGCAATAGCTAATAATATGGTATATTTCATTTTAAATCACTCTTTTTTATTCTTCGGATGCTATTTCAGAAGGCCTTTATGAAATTGCAAAACTCGGCAGTTATGTTGTGGTCTGTGTTCAGGTAGTGGACTTTGACAAGTTTGTTGTGACTAAGTAAAGAGCTTAAGTCAATCTTAAAGCTACTTTCAGTAACAAGTTTTAATGTTAAAAATATTATATACACTACTGTGAAAGCTCACGTCTTTTGAGAATAAATTAATGCTATTAGTTTTTCTTTTTAAGCTGGATTGTTTATAACACAAAACTCTTTTAATATTCACTACTGTTGTATTCCGAAATCAAAAGTTAAAAATCAAAAGTTTTAAAAATAAATTTCTGAATTTTTGATCCAATAAGCTATTTTGGCGCCCCTTCTATTTGTTCACCTGAGGCAACTACCTCACCTGCCTCACCCTTGTCCCAGCCCTGGGTATTTACATTAATGAGATGGATGAGCTTGTCAATCCTTGCATAATTATTATATATTTAGATGTAGGCGTGTAAGAAGCACCACAGTGATAATGTTTTAAATCCCTCATCTGTTGCTAAGACTAGAGTAGGATGTCCATTAATAGAATAAACCGTAATAAATTTGATAAAATATCAGCTTTGAAGGAAAAAGTGACAGACAATTAGCATTTGTAATAATTTCTAAACTTTAAGATTTTTTACTATAGTGTGGTATAAGTAGTTAATTTGAATTTTATTTTTTTGTCTTTTTGGAAACCTAGGAGGACTACAAGAGAAGGCTTCAAAAACTACTCGTGGTCTGCAGATACAGTTTAAGAAATGCTGCTTTATTGCTTTAATTCACGCTAAGTTACAAAACAAAGAAATATGCTTAGTTAAAAATTAAGAAATATGGATATGAGATATTTTTATTTAACATATTAAATACTATTTTGGTTTGGGATATTTTATTTTCAACTAAATTAGCATATGGGAGATTAAAAACTCAATAAGCAAGGAAATAATAAAAAGATAAATTTTATGAATTTCGTAAATTTATACAATTTTCCTTCCATTCACTTATTACTGTTCTGCAATAATTTTTCTCATTCATGTTCACTAAACAACTGCAATCTTTCAATGTTAATTTATTATGAAACTTGATAGTCTCTTGAAAAGTTCTCATGGCTACTGTCGTTTATATCACTTATTCCAATCATTTATCTAGTTATGAAATAAAGACTCTGAGCAGCACCATACCAAAATCAGGGAACAGCAATTCTTGCTGAAATCACCAAAATGCATTTTATAGGTTATTTTCCAGGGGAAAGGTGGGATGCATATAAAAATCTATATGACATAAAAGTTTTGATGAGTGTAACTTGATTTTTCTTTAAATACCAGAATTTGAAACATAATCTTCTTTTTTCCCAAATCACCTTTTTTTCAGATTACAGTATTTTCATTATTGATGAATAATTCTGATATTTATTAATGCTCTTAAACTTTAACACTAGAAGAAATTATGAATCAGATAAATTGTGCCTCTCTTCTACACCATATAGATATAAACCTGACTGATGTACTTCCTAAAGACATATAAGTTAACAAGCAACAAATTACAGTTTAAGTTACTAATTTATGCAGATATATAACTGACAAATTACAATTAAATTTACAGTAATAAAACAATGATGAAAAGCAGTTAGAATTGTGAGTGTATGAAGTGAGCAACTAACAATAACTGCATTTGTGAATTTACGATGTTTAAGTATATAAGTATATAATTATTATACGTAGCCAGGTTAATTATTAAAATACAGTGATCATCAAAATGAAAGCAGAATGAGAAAAAATAGGCACACTAAGTTAATGTTGTAACCAATGACCAATGCTGTAACTGCTTATGTTAAATATAAATTAACACAAATTGCATTTCCGTGCATACATTAGTGCTGAAAATATGCAAATTTTGTGTTTGACAATGTAATGCACAATGGACACATACTGGAATTCCAGTCTGTAGTATTGTTAAAGTGAATGTGGTTTCCAAGAATGATTAGTATTTAGTAGTTATGGCTTAAAGGCATCAAGGCATCATTTAACTGAAGATCAAAACTGGTGAATAATTGGTAGAATCAAGGGAAATCAAACCGAAATGAAAGTCACCCAAGATTTGAACATCCCCCAAAGTCTCATATCAAGAGTTTGGAGCCACTTTTCAAGCACTGGATCAGTTGATAGACAGCCTGGTCAAGGACGATGAAGAGCAACATCTGCATCAGATTACAGTTTTCTGACACTGTCGGCTCAAAGAAACCCTGAAGACACTCCAAAACATGTGGTTTTAGACCTTCAGGCTGCCACATTAACTCGAATTAGCCATTCTACTGCTGCACGAAGCACAACAAGGTTGTAAATAATATGTGAGAAAAGCAATGGTTTGTGACACACTTAGTCCAGCTTCCAGAAGGGTTGTTAAAACTGGTGCTGTCTTCATGCTCAATGCAGCCCAAATGAATAGACCCGAGTATTGTTTATTAACGAGTCCAATGTAGTCTGAACAGTAATTCTAGATGCGTTTCGATCTGGAGAGAGGAAGGAACCCGCAACTTGCCTTCTCTTGTACTTGAAATATTCCATTTCCCTGACCGCTGTTGGGGAAGAATCAGGACAAATGACTGCATATCTTTCAAGGAGGTTCTGTAACCACTTGGAGATATATGAATAAGGTATTGGAACCCCAAGTTAGACTGTTTAGAGGTGCTCTTGGACCAAAATTTTTGCTAATGGATGGTAATGCTCGCCTCATTGAGCACATGTGTTGTCATAATACTTGCAAACTGAAGATATCACTCAAACAAATTGACTACCTTACTCATCTTAAACTCGAATATCTGTAGGGTGCCGAATTTCAACACACCAAATTCCTTCCTGAACCCTCCAAAGAACTGAAAATGCACTTTTAAAAAAGTGGTATGCAATTCCACCAGACTTGATCAACACTTTGGTAAAGTCTATGGAGTGAAGATGTGAGGTATGCATATCTGACCGCGGTGACCATACACCATATTAAAGAAAAATTGTTTCCACAAAAGGTGACTTAATTTTTCCATCATTTTCCAAGTTCCATAAATTTGGTGTTAATTTCAATACTTAGAGAACAGTCAATGCCAAACATTGTAATTTATGTTAACTAATGCTTTTATACAAATTTCTAAAAATAATTTTTTCATTAAGTATTAGTTACATTTTATTTCTGTCATTATCCTTTAATTTTGATGAGCAGTATATTCGCTATTCATATTAAAACTACAGATTTAGAGGAAAACAATTAAAAACTACTTATGTATTATCTTGTTGACTATTAAGTTTGCTGAGATCTTGCCAAAGTTCTGACAAGCATTCATATAGAATTTTGAAGGAACTGACACCTGTTTATTTAATAAACATTCTTTATTTATGTGCTTCTTAAAAAGGCTTTTTTTCAATTTCTACTATTTTATTAAGCCCTCTGATTTTAATGGAACACCTGTTTAGAACATTATGAGTGGAAACTTCCTGCAGTTGATTGTTCCATTCTATTACTGTTTTGCTGACTGTATGCAGCTTACCACATTGTGTCAATTAATATTCAGTTTTTTTGATGAAAAGATTCTATAATTTTGTGAAAAAATCTCCTATTTTTAATTCTGTACAAAACAGGTCCCAAATTTTAATCATTCCCCCAACCCGCAAATGCATGAAAAAATACAGCATTAATAGTTAAATTTATATCTTTGTTCATAAAAACAAAACATAGTTTATCTAGAATCTATTGCTTTTGCATCAAGCAAAAGCACAGGTGCGAAGAGTGTGTTGCTGCTTCATGTCTATTCATAATTGGAGCTAAATCAAGCTGCTTGATAATAGTTTCACAGTCAAGTGAATAATACCATAAGCACTTTCTTTACATACAACTAAACCAACAAAAGTTACTCACTTCTCTCCTTTTCCTTCGAGAAACTGAGCAAACTGAAAGACAAAGTCTAGCACTACGAGGAATATCTGGTACAAAAAGATCATATTCCAACCATTCCTCAAACTTCGGGTTTGAAAAGACAACTTGCGATGTATCCCGTGTCTGACAAAGTGGTTCTGTTCCATGGAAAATGCCAGTTTTTACATATATCTAATGAAATATAAAAAACTGCACTTATAAATACAAAGCACCAAAATATTTTGAAAGGTTTTCATAAATTTGAAAAACATAACATACCTTATCAACATCTCGAACATTGACATAAGTTGCCCATAATATACGTATTCTTAGCATAGCATCAACATTCCACAAAGACATGGTTTCCTCATTTGAAGATATGGGTGGAGGTCGGCGTAGAAATGAAGGCATGCGAAATTCACAGTGAGGCAAAGAATTACATACGCCTTCTTTTGACATTAACATCAACTGAGGAATTTCACCTTTTGCAATACAATTCCTGATATACTAAAAAATAAAAATAAATGAATATAAAATTTAATCGTGTTCAATATTGTTAGAAAGAAATCCTTTATAAGCTAAGTGCAAACATACATAAATATATAAAAACATTACCATGTAGAAGTACCTATATATTTTAATATAAAAATTAAATATTTACTTCACACATTTCCATTAGAATTACTTATTTAACCTTATTCATAGGCCAGCTCCAATAGTAACGTTTTGCAAAAGGCCCCAAGAAAGGCATATATTCTTGATTATTATTCCAAAATGCCACTCTGTACCTGAATTCTTTTTCTCGTGGTCAGAGGACAGCAACTGATTTTATGAATTAAATTTGATTTGTAATTTAATTTTATTATGAAAAACATAATGAAAATACTGTGCAAGTTCAATTGTTAATAGTCTTGAAATGACAGACACCATTAATTTTTTTCAAAATGCTGGATAAAGAGTTAAATTATCTATTTTTTATGTCACAAAATAACTCATTTGTTTCACTCATTATTTGCATTGAAATAATTAATTTAAGCAAAAATATATAATTCATGATTCATTGCAAATAAATATTTTAAGACATTTCACATTTCTTAATTTTAAAATGAAATAAAAAATTCAAATATGCATTCAAAACAAAATTACCTAATAAAATCTTAAGAACAGAGTAGAGATTAGATTTATAAATATGCAATACACGTTTATTGGTGAAAGAACATCAGTGTATTAATAGTAAGTGATTTTAAACATATACATATGAAAAAATTGCTAATTAAATAAATATTAAATGTGTCTAAGTAAAACAGATCTAAGAAACAAATATTAACTTTTACATGACTTGTAATTATTTACATAATCTAATCATGTTAAAACCATGAAAAATACACTTCTAAACCAACTGTCATTCCTTCGTATAAAAAACTTAATAACATAATGAGATTTTTAACAGAATTAGAAAACTCTTCTTTGAATTTAATCCAAATTTAAATATAAAACGATATATTTTACTGTAATAAAATAAAGAGATTGAAACGAAAACTATCCATGTAGGTGTAATTTATATGTAATTCCCCCCAGACCCCAAGTTCCAAATAAATCTGTTTTCTAAAGTTTAGAAAAATTCATATTTTATGTGGTGTCAATAAAGAACTGAAAAATTCAAAACTATATACTAAAAAAACTCTTTTATGTATATATAATTCTAATATAAATAAAACTATATAAATTTTCATTACACAATTCACATTTATGCTGTGTGTGCAAATTGGTACCATGTATATCAAGAATAATTTTCTCAGCAACCTAGTCCTTCGTCCTTAGTTCAGTTTTGAAACTAGATTCTTTTCTCTTTTTGAGATTGGAAGCATCTTTATCAGAGTCCTCTGAAATTTTTAGGTCATTATTTTATATTACACCGACATGCCCATGTAATTTGAAGAGTGCTGCTGCTCCAGGAAGCAAACTATTATTCAGTTTATAAAGTCAAAAGTCGTTAATTCGGACACCCATAATCCGGACCTCAAAGCTACAAACTTTCCGCGCATGTGTGAACGCATAATGCGTTCACGCATGCGCATTGGCGTTTACACATTTTAAACCTTTTACTGCACCATCTCTCCTCCTTGAAATGTTTATTTAGTTTAGTTCTTATTTTAATGTAATATAGTAGTTACTTCTACTTCTTTTTCTTGCTGCCACTGTTTGCATTGAGAACGGACTGTTTCAACCTAATTGAGATGTAAAAATGAAACGTGATGTTACGTCATCTGGAAAGCCGATTCGTGCCGATAGCTGATTGGTTGCCGTGAGATGACGTCGTGCCTACTTCTGCTATAAGTATCTCGCGTCGCTCTGGCTCAGCCCTTCTAGTTCCTGCTTTCCTGGCACTTGAGTGAGTGGTTTCCAGCCCCTTCAGAAGGATGCATGCAGTCCAGTGAATAAAGTGCCTTGGTTCCGGTTTGCGGGATGGCTGTTATTGAATAAAGTTCCTTGGTGCCTGTCCACGGGATGATTGTCCACGGAATGAGTTCCTTGGTTCACATCTATAAGATGATTGTTCCAGAATAAAGTTCTTTGGTTCCAGAGGCTACCATCTGAGTGACTGCCGTGGGCGCATCCATGTTCTTCAATAAAGGTGGCATTTAAAATACGTGAGCGGCGATTCCTCGTGTACAACTAATGCAAAAGGAGTTAGGCCGGTTTTGAGTGCTTTCAAGAACTTCATTTAAATTTTCAGGTGTTTTCTCAACCATTGATCATGGACGTTTTGAATGTGTAGCCAACTTCATTTTTAGGCCGCATAATTAATGTTTAGGACATTTTTATTTGTATTGAATGCCAGTGTTTTGGAGACCATGTAAAAATATTATTTGATGAATGATGGTTATATTATATTTTTCCTAAGACTCTGATATTGTTGAAATTTATTTTCTGTGTTTTTATTCTTTATTATATTGTTAATAAATTGGTTAAGTTCAAAACCTTTTTATTGTCTTCAATGTCTGCACAACATGATATCTCAGGGAGCTTTTATTGCTACTACTGCTAAATGTTTAATTTCTTTAAACTTTAAACTTTGCTTTAGCATCACGCATAAAACCTTTACACATGCGCATTTAATGTATAATGGATGGTGTTCGGTTTAATACAGCGCCCTCTTGTGAGAGGAGCAAAATTTAGTTCAGTTGGTTGTTGAAGAAGGTACGCAGCGGACCTATGGTGTGTTCGTTCGTTACACTTTGTCTGTGCTAATGGAGCACTTAACTTGTAACCTTGTACATTATGTAAATAATTAAATATTTATGTGGCCAAACTTAGTTTTATTTTGGAACCAGCACCATTATCTCTCGTAACTCATTGCATTTTATATCGAACAAAAATTTATGGTCCGCTCACGGAGTTGTTTTGTTTTTGTTAACTAAGTTCGTATTAGAATAGAATGGCCACTATAGTTGCTTTAAATCGAAAGAAGGGCTCGCTGAAAGACCAGCTAATTAGAATAGAGACTGTCACAGCGGATAGTACCAGCACATGCACAAAAATCAAAATAGATGCCAAGCTCAAGGCCTTGGAAAAGATGTCTGTTGCTTTGGATGCACTTTGATCGGAATATTATATTGCTGTGCCTGAAAAGGATGATACTTCTGAATTAGAAGAGGAATTATTAGATCTAGAAGCAAGAATCGACGATCTAGAGGTAAGTTTCAATCAAATGTTAATTGATAATGTTGCTAATATTAATAAGGTTGATATCGCAAAGAGTAGTTGTAAAATAAAGTTACCTGAAATTCCACTTCCACAATTTAGCGGAAAGTATGAAGAATGGAGCATGTTTAAAATTGAATTTAATAATATTGTTACCTCGAATACTCAATTAACGGATGCACAAAAGCTACATTATCTGCATGCCGCTCTTAAGGGAGAAGCAAAATTGTTGCAAACTCAGGAAGATACTTTTTGAATCATTATTTAGGGCTTTAGAAAATCGCTTCGAAAACAAGAGTAATTCTTCATTAATATTCACATTAAAGCTATTTTAGAATTCGAAAAAAAAAAAAAAAAAAAAAAAAAAATTCATGAATCATTCGAAAGAATCATTTAACGCGAATTCAGGCGTAGTAGATGCTGTGAATAAAAACATTAGAGCTTTAAATAATTTGGGTTTGAACGAAACAAATTCTCTGATATTTTAATTACTACTGTCATTTTAGACAAAATAGATAAGGAAACTCAAAAACAATTCGAATTATTGGTAAACGCTTCAGATGTTCCTAATTTTGATAACTTGATGACATTCTTAGAAAAAAGAAGTCAAACTTTGGAAAATATCCAAAAAAACACAATAAAATCAAAACAAACGAATGAAATAAAACCAAAAAACCTTCTTGTTCATTCAAATAATTCGGAAAGAAATTGAGTTATATGTAATTCACCACATTCCCTTTTTAAATGTAGTAAATTCCTTAATATGAATTTTGGTTAAAGATTTACGCTACTAAAACGAAATAACTTATGTCTAAACTGTTTGGGAAAAGAATACATTGCTTCGCAGTGTCGATCGAATCATTTTTGCAATATTTGCCATTCAAAACATCATACATTGCTTCATGAGGATAAGTCATCGAATTCGGATTCTGTTTCAAATAAACATCCGCAGACAATAGAGCAGAAGACAGCTGGGGGTGGGAGGATATTTCTCCGGCGCCTAATGGCAAAGCGATGAGTCTTTCAAATTGTTTATTAGCTACGAATAAAAGTGTTATCTTGCCATCTGCAATTGTTATGATGAAAACTTCGAAAGGGACATTCATCAAAGAAAAGGCTCTTCTTGACAGCTGCTCACAGATTAACTGCGTGTCTGCTCATTTTGCAAAACAAATAGGGATTAAAAAAACAAAGGTTTTCGCTCCGATTTCAGGATTAACTGGAACTGATATTACTTTAAATTATAAATTGAGGACTTCAATTGCCAATAGGGAAAAAACATTCTCTAGAGAACTTGATTTTTTTTATTGTTCCCAAAATTACAGACTCCCCCCATACCTATTGAAATTATTGTCATTCCCAGGGATATTTCCTTAGCTGATTACAGATTTAACACACCTGAGGAAATTGATTTATTACTGGGGCAGAATGTTTCTTTGACTTATTAAAATCAAGTCAAGTTTGCAGCGCGACAAAAGACTTATTGTTCCAGGAAACGGTTTTTGGATTTGTAGTTAGTGGTATTATGCATAATTCACCACTTGAATCAATACTGTGGTCTGCTTATGCAAAATGAAAAAATTGATGAAACATTGCATAAATTCTGGGAGGTAGAAAATATTAATTTTCCGGATTCAGCACTTAGTCCTGAAGAGAAATATTGCGAAAAACATTTTAAAAGAAACTCATTATCGAACCTCGGAAGGTCAGTACGTCGTATGCATGCCCATGAAGGACTCTGAATTGTTGAGCGAGTCTAGATATTTAGCAGAGAAAAGACTTAATCAAGTTTGGCAGCGATT